TTCGATGAAATTGGGCAGGAGGAACAGGGAGCTTTGCAGAAAAGAGAGTTGGGAAATGTTAATCTCCTAAGAAAATCCTTACAGAAGCTGTGCTGTTTGCCTGGAGGCAAAGCCAGGCTTTTAGGCTCAGCTGTGACCTGACAAACAGGTGAATTTGTGGATATTATTGTGGTGTTATTTGTAATAATAATGATCAAAAGTCCTAAGAATGAGAACAAATGATGTTCCCTTGTTCAAAAACATTTGCAGCATAGCTGGTCCATACCAGCCGTGGGAATTCGTGTGTGTGTGTGTGTGTGTGTGTGTGTGTGTTGTGTGTAAGCAGATGTAGGCCTGGCCCTTCTGGTACTAAGCAAGCCCAGAAAAAGTAGTGGACCATGAGGGATGGGGAAGAGGTTGATCAACCTATGAGAGGGGAGGAAGCTGGTCCAGAGACTTTGGCTGATTTATCTGAGCTGTAAAGATGAGTAGAAAGATAATCTAATATGACACCACTGTGAAATTCCTTACAAAATAATTGTTGACATGGGGAAATGTTTCTAGTAGAACACTAGGCAAATAAAAAGGATATGAAACCATCGACGCCCTTAACTATGTAAAAATAATACATCTATATTTCTACATGTGCATATGTGGGAAAATTTTCTGGAACACTGAAGTGTTAACGTGGTCTGTAGGTGGAATGACTGTGTTTTTATCATCTTTATTCCTTTCTATAGTTCTCAAATTTTTTAACAATAAACATGGCTTCCTTGCATGTTCAGAAATAAGTATCAGACATCAGACACAGCCTCCAGAGCTCCACCCAGGACTCTGGGGTGGAAGGCTTTCCAGAAGGCCTCCTTACCATTCCTTGGCTTCCAAGCAGCACCAACCTGGGCAGGTTACACTGACTGGGTGTGGAAGTTTCCTGGAAGCTTTACTGATGCCAGCTGGGGTGCTCGCACCTGCAGGGGACCCAGATCGCTTTCCACCAAAGCACCCCCTCACTGAGCACCCTTTAGCATAACCCCATTAAAGCCTATCCCCAAGACAACCACCTTTTCAATCAAAAGCAACACCCTCCCTTCACTTTGTCCCTCTAAGCCTACTACTAATTTGCTCAAGGAACCCATTTCTCTGTTCCTTAAAGAGGGGCAATGGCTAAGAGCTAGTTTGGCCCCCTTCTTTTGCTTCAGAGTCTGGGGAGCAGGACTGAGAGGAGCAGGAGCTTGTTGCTGATGGGCCTGAGCGCCAGGCCTTGTCTCCTTTGTTTCCTCTGCTGCACTGCAGGGAGCTGGCCCTGAGGCTTGCTCGCTTTGCACTCCTCTTCCCAGACGCTCAGGGCCTGTGACTAATCCACCCTGAGAGCATCTGGGGGTGGCTTACCTCTCCTCGAAGCATGACCAGAGAGCAATTGTCCTGAGGCCCAAAGGCCACAGATGGTCAAGCGAGGTACAAGTGAGAGTCAGTTGTCTACAGAAGCCCTCACCTAGGGTGGGGGTGCTAAATGGATGCCTAAGGGCTCTGGTCCCGCATGCTGTACCCCCTCCTCGGCCTCTGAACCAGCAACTCAGCCAGAAGCTTCAGCAGTGGACAGAGGCAGGGCTGCCCCAGCTCAACTGCGCACTGGCGTGAAGGGGGACAGGAGCGCAGGCTGAGCAGGAGCATACACAGGCCACTGCAAAGATGAGGGAGGAAAGTCACCCACCCACTGCCAGCCTTGGGGAGACCACAAATCCTGCAGCCCCGGGAGGCTGATTCCAGCGGCCGTGGCCCACTGACCTCTGACAAGTGTCAGCCCTGGCTGCAAGTCCAGCTTCAGCTCCTGACATGATGTGGGGTTGGGCCAGCTACTGAACTAGTCAAATCTCAGTTTTCTATAGCGTCATCAATAGCATGGGGGTAAAAATGCCCTCCACCATGCGAGTTAAGTAAGCAAGATAAAGTTACACAGGAGCCAGCACTGTGCGGAGCTGGCGGTCACTGTTTGCTAAACAGCAGGGCCTGCAGCCCTGGGCACAGGGCAGGCTGGAGTGGAGAGTAGGAGGAAGGTGGAGAGAGCTGAAGGCACCCTCAGGGGCGGTGCGCCTGTCCCTTCATTTAACAGATGAGGGAGGGGAAGGCTCAGAGAGGTTGAATCACCTAGCCAGCATTGCACAGGTGTTTAGCAAGCATGCGAGGTACAGATTCAGGTCTCCCGAAGTCCAGCACAGGTCTGCCCACGGGGCCTTGGGCCAAGAAGACCCTGTTGGCGCTCTGCCCACAGCTGGTCCCCAATAGCAGGCCACCATGCTGCCGCTGAGTTCTTCCAAGAAACTTCGGTAAGGAGTTGGTGGGATGAGTGCTACAGAACCCGAGTGGAAGCTGAGGACCGCTACTGATGAGCAAGCTGGAGGGGTGCTATGCAAATAGCATGCAAATGCATGCAAATAACCACTGGCTACTGATGAATCAACAGTTTGTACTTCTTTCCCCCCTGAAACTGGATCACACTACAACACATGAACCTGTGAAATCAGTCTGTTCTTTGGTTCACTGACCCAACTGTCCCTGGTATAGTGAGGGGTTCGGCCACCCTTCGTCAACATCTCACCAGTATGCCCCATATATGTCTCCCTTGCGTTTGGAATTTATGTTCTGGTGTCCCGAGCTGCATTAGGGGCGGGGGGGCCAGCTTTCCTCCAGCTCAGAATAAAGGATCTCTGGGGGGGGGGGCACTCGAGGCCCAGTCAGGCCCGGGAGAGAATTTCGAAAGGGTTGAGTTCCCAGCAAGAAGGTTAGAGGTGAGACATCTGGCTCTGGAAGGGCTGCCTGAGGTTCCAACACCCCACTTCTGGAAACCCATCCAATTCGGTTCACATTTACTGAGTTTCTGTTCTGTGCCAGACACTGTGCTAGGCATTCTGGAAAATCTGCAGAAACAGACACAACGTGGCCACTGCCAGATTGCTGCCCTTCCACTGACAACTCCCCAGGGAGAACAAACACGGATATAACTTAACAGAGCTTGACACCTCCCTGGAGTGGTGAGCACGTGCGTGGGCATGGATATTGCCGTACAGGAGACTGCGTGGGGTGGGGGCCCGGCTTGCAGATTCAGCAATGCTAATAAAACTATAAATATAAATCTACACATAAATTAGCTCGCATCGAGTATGTCAGACACAGCACTCAAGGCTTTATGTGCAGGTGTTTATTATATTCTCCCGTCCTCCTAGGTCGAGTCCCCTTTCATGGGTGAGGAACTTGAAGCTTAAGATTAAAGGTGTTTAGTGGCTGTCATAAAGTTGCTTCGACTTTAAAAAGTGACTTTCCCAAGGTCACGCACTGGAAATTCACGGCAAGGATCTGCCCCTGCTTCAGCACCCCGCCAGCCCCTCAGGGTCCCCCAGTTGCAGGAGGCTGAGCCAGGAGCCGGAGGAGCTGCTCCTGCAGGCACCAGCTTGCAGCTCCTGCCAGCACAGCCCTCCCCGTCCCCACAGGGCGAGTACAGCACATTCTCCAGCCCGTGACCTCTGTCACATCAGGCCCAGGCCTTGGGCCTCCTTGGCACCCACTCCGCCGACAAAATTTCTTAAACATCCTTCCAACAGCTACAGGGCTGTGGGAGTTTCCTAGTGTGACAACATTGTCATCAGGTCACACCCAGGGGCCCAGCCCACTCTAATGGGTTGAGACCAGCTTCATCTGCGCGTGGCGCAGATGCTCCGGCTTCCCTTCTCCCCCAGGGTGCAGTCTTGGCCCCACCTTCCCTGGGAAACCTGGAGGTTATGAGCGAGGTAGGCCGGGCACACGGGCATTTGGTGCTGGCACCAGGGAAGTCAGAGAGGGCTCTGCATGCTGCCAGCTTCAGGAGACCCTCAGGGCCTTAGTTTCTTTCCCCTTTACCAGCTCTTACTCCACCTCTCCTACAAGATCATAGTGAGAAAAGGGGGGGAAATGGTGTATTAAAGTGAGCTCTGAGAAGTTAAACCTGCACAAATGTAATGCAAACAGGAGAAATGTGGGTGCTTAGGACTGCCTGGGCAAGATGCCAAGGGAGGCCAGAGGCCCCATGTCCCAGATATGGAAGCTACTCTGGAGGCGGCAGGTGCCAGAGATGGCCAGAGTTCCCCAGGAGGGAGGCAATCCATTGAAGACAAAACTGAAAGGGGGTGCAAGCCCCCCTCACTAGAGTGTCCTAGCGGGGCTGCTCATGGCAGCACGCCCAGGCATTCGCTGGCACTCAGTGGCCTAGGCACTGCCTGGTGAGGAGATTATGGCCTGGCAGGCCCAGGCAAGGAGCCCCAAGATGGACTGGACCCCCAAATGAGGACTGCCAGCATCAGGGCCAGCCCAGGGCCGTCTCACTTCTGTTTAAGCATCTCTGTGTGATCTGCAGAGACAGACTCTCTGTTTTGCAATAGAGAAGGAATGTTAAGAACAGGAGCCTGCATTTCTCCCTCCCTCTTAGATCCTGCAGTAGGTCCCAGAAGTGGGAGCTGGGCAGAGATCTCAGCTGTGTGGGTTCAATAGGACAGCCCTGAAGGGTGGAGCTGGCTGGCACCATCCAGGAACAGGAGAGCTGAGGAGTGTCTTCAGGAAGCCTGCTGGGTCTTCCTGCGCCTGGTGTGCCACTGCTCACCCCTCCCCAGCATCTGTTCTGCTCTCTCCGATTCCCTAGCAGCTCATTCCCACCCAGCACTCACTGTGATGATCTCAGTGGCCCACGGAAACCCCTCTCCCCCAGCCAGAAAAGCATCCTTGGGCTCCTGGCTGTTTGGGAGAACAGCAGCTCCAGATCTGGGGTCCTGGGCACTGCCAGGTTCATGCTCCTCTCGCCAATCGCTCCTCTTGCCAACAATTCCTCTCCACTCAACTGCAGCTCAGCCTCAGGGGCCTCAGAGTGCGGCTGGGGCAGAGGGCCGACAGACCATGTAGGAACATGGGGCTGAGCTTTCTACCTATTATCCTCTTCGGGTAGCCCTCGAGTCACCCAACATGGGATGCAGTGGTACCTTGGGGTGCTCTGGACTCACCGGAGCGGGATCTTGACGCGGAGGTATCGGTCCACAGCAATTGCCAGTAGGGCCAGGATGGAGCTCTGGGTGAGGATCAGGACGGGGCAGGCGACCATGAGGCAGGTGTGGAAGTAGGTCTGAGGCCCAATGTTGATGAGGATGGCGAGGGGGATGACCAGAGCGCCCACGGCCACATCAGCCACCGCCAGCGACACGATGAAGCAGAAGGTGGCATCCCGCAGTGCCTGGTTCACCTTCACTGCCCAGATCACCAGCACGTTCCCAGGCACGGAGACCAGGGCAATGAGCACCTCGATGCCAATGTAGGCGGCCTGGAAGGCCGAGATGGAGGGCGGCATGGCTGGCACGGGCTGGGCACATCAGCAGACAGGCTCCAAGGGGCACGAGGCAGACACCTGTGGTCACGGAAGCCTGGGGTGGGGAGGACTGCCTGGCGCAGAGGAGCCCAGGAAGCGCTGGAAGTCCCGCTGCCTTTTGGAGCCGTGCCCCACTGGGCACAAGTAGTGCCCGCCTGGGCTGGCAGGGTAGCGCCGGGGCCCTTCCTCTGCCTAATCTCTGTCCCCTCCCCTTATCCCCAGAGGTTCCATTCAGTAACTTAAAATAGCAGCTCCGGCTCCTCCACCGGCTTTTTTATCAGGTGTGAGGCAGCTCCCAGCATACACACACCCCACAGGGGTCCCCCACGCCTGCCTCTGCCCACCCATGCCCACAGAACAGGATGCAGGGAGCTCACCATCCTGCCTGCTGGCCGCCAGGGGGTCCCAGAGGAGGTGCCCAAAGTTCGGAGCACCTGGTGCTGCCCAGAGCTGGGGGGCCGCGCCGCCGCCGGGCAGGGCTGGGCGCTGGGCACCGTGCGGCTCATCGTCCTCCCGGCTCCCGCCGCAGCGCGCCCGGCCCGGCCTTTCAAGCAATCACATGGTGCGGCAGAGGCTCAGCCCCGGACGCTTTTAAAGAGGTAGCGCCCTGTTTCGCACCTGGGACTGGGCGGCCAGACTCGGGTCTTGGGGCGCTGAGCCCCGCACACCCGGCCGGGGCGCGGCTGCTCTTCCCCAGCGCGCGCGCACCTTGCCCGGCGCCCACCCACCTGCGATTCCGCTGGCGCCTGCTTCCCCGCGGTGCCCGTCCCGCTCCAGCCTGCCGCGGACCCTCGCCCATCGCCTGTCCCGAGGAGGATGTCTACTCGCCTCTGCCAAGCTTCTGCTGCACCCTCGCCGGGGAATCGCGGGGCGAACTGGGGGACTTACCCAACCAAGGTCGCCAAAGCGGGCAGCGCGCCTCGCCACCTGGATGGGTCGGCGGAGCCCCGGCCCCGCTCGACGTCTGCAGCAGTGGCTCGCTCTGGGGATGCCTGGACGGTCCGGGACCAGCCTGTTGGGTCCACGCGGGAGGAGCTGAGTGGGGCTCCGCTCGGGCGCCGGCGCTCGGCCGCCCCCGGCGCGGGAGCTGAGTGACAACCGGGTTCCGCACACCGGGAGGGGGCGGGGGCGGCGGCGGCGGCGGCACCCGCGGCCCCTCCCTGCTCGCCCTCGGTCTCCTCCCCCACCCCCTCCTCTAAACAAAGGAAGTGATTCTGGGTGTGAAAAGCTGGAAAAATAGGAGCTTTTCGGAGGGGTCTGGGACGTGAATGCAGCCTCGGGGCGGGCAAGACGCAGCCTTGCTTCGGTGCACGCTCTCGGTTCTCATTGCGGGTGGCCAGGGGCCCCTGCTTCGATCACCTGAGGCCCGTCCGCCTCTCCCAGCACTGCATCTCACCTGCAGGGCTCCAGGATGCTTCTGTCTGACTTCCCCTGCAACGGCCAGTTTGGGGGACACTCTTCCACCCCTCGACCCTGAAACCCTGGCTCGCAGGGAGCCAGACCCGGCGTATTCTCAGGAACAGACCCTCCTGGCGTTTCTAGCGCGCTCTATCCTGAGTCATTCTTTTCCTTTCAGAGCCGCCTTTTGACCTATTAGAGACTTCCATTTCACAGAGGAGCGACTGAGGCGCAGAGGAGTGAGCCAGCTTCCCATCCCAAGTTCGTTTCTGCCATTATCAGCCCCCCACTTCATAGTGCAATACCCAAGTCACAGGGTAATACCCCATGACATCCCCCCCCCAAACATATTATAAAGATGCAGGCTCAGGGAGGAAGGTGCTTCGCCCCCCCTTCCCTCTCCCCCACAGCCAATCCTAATGAAAGTGGAGTATAAAACCAATCTCCTGGCATAGCTCTCTCCCCACCCCACGCTATTCCCCCCCTCTCAGCTCCCTCCTGCTGCGGTTTCAGCTGAAGTCACCAGGAGGTTCTGGCAAAAGACCCCAGGCACACCTCGCTCTGAACTAGAGCCTTGCAGAGCTCCTGACCTGAGAAAGCCTCATTGGCAGATACTGATCAGGGTAAGGTCCTGGGGGGGTGAAGATATTGAGATGGGAATGCCTAGTGCCCTGAGGGCACTGCCCCTGTTAGATCACAGGATGCCCAGAGAGGGGCTCTACACAGAGGATGAGTGGCCAGCTTTTCCTGGGGGGGAGGGGGGCTGTGTTGAATCCCAGTGGAGAAAGAGGTGGGGCTGGGGTAGCTGGAAGAGGGGTGTGGGTGGGTTGAATCCTTCTGGGGCACTCGATGCCCTGCCCAGGGAAGGTAACTTCCCTTGCTGCCTTCAAGGGGAGTGAGGAATCTGTGCAGATAGTAAAATCCGAAATCTTGCCCTCACCTAAAGCTCCTCTCAAACTGGGAAGTGCTGACTCTCCTTCCCCCTCCCCAAACTTCCCCTGCAGACTTCCTCAACACCTCCAGACACTGGCGATCCCTGGTATCTAGAGCTTTTCACTTCCTTCTCATTGCAGGTGCCATGTGAGCCTGCAAGTCTTTGTACCCATTCTCTGGTTCTCTTGGCCCATGGCATCCTGAGATCAAGACTTTTTCTTAATTTTCATTCAGCTTCCTAATTTTTGCCCCTTTAGCTGTCAGAAAAACCTGCACAGACCCAGGCAAGCCCAGCTCAGGGCATCATCATTGTCAGCTTTGAAAAGCACCTGATCCCCCCTCAAACACACGCATACACACTCGGACCCCCAATTCTCTGTCCATGGGTTGTTGCAGGCAGTTGATTCATTTGCATCATACCTGTAGGTAGCTTGTTTCTCTGTTCTGAATAAAATAAATGAAAACTGTCTTCCCTTTCCTCTGTTGCCCTCCCTCCTCCTGCCAGTTTTGGGGGCCAGGCATCCTGGGGGATTCTGCTGGCCCATTTGAGAACAGAGCCCAGCAAGGCAGAATCCATGGCTGAGAAGTGCTCTGGTAGAAGCAAACACCTCTGTCTCATCAGCATCCAGGGCAGCAAGGGGGCAGTGGGGCAGTTGTGGGCGCTGGTGACCTCAGCTCTCCTGAGCACCAAGGCTTTTGGTTCCAAGAAAGGAGCTGGGGGCTGTTTTCAGGTGCTATGTGGCCCCATTGTAGACAATGGCAGCCTGTCATTCAGCCCTGTCCATCCAGACAGCAGGAGGTCGGGGAATGAAGTCCGGATGGAGACCTTGGGGGTCCCACTTTTCCACCTAAGAACCTTCTAAGTTCTGGTAGCCCCCAGATGCCAGGGTTGAGGGAGGGGAGGCTGGTGATAGGGGGTAGAGGAGGGGGTCAGAGGTGATAGTGGGAGGGGTGATTGGAAAGGAGTAGCAGGCAGAACAGGTGGAGTCAGGCATCTGGAATTTACTCTAAGAATAAAAACCACTTCGTTTTCGGCAGGACCCTTGACTACTATCCCCCAGCACACACTGGGCCCCCTTATTCTCAGCGGGTACATGACCCTCCCTGTACTCCCATGCTCACTGCCCCCGCCCCCATCCCCACCCCCCAGGTCTCCAACAGCTAGGCCTTGGTCTCCTGGTGCACAGAATCCACCTAGGAACACACCTCCACTTGCCCACAGGCCAGCAGGCGGCTCTGGGCAGGCGGGGCCTGTGTCTTGGGCCACACAGGCTGGAATCTGCTCTGTGCATGGGTCAGCCTTGCAGAAGCAGCCTCCTAGTACCCCAGACACCCCAAAGGTACCCAGTGACAAACATGCTATGCATGTGACTGTGGGAGCAGATAAAGTCACACTGAGCCTGGAAACCCCCTGGGGCCACCCCCCATGTGCCCCCCCCAACATCCTCCTGCACTTAGCTTCCTGGTCCTCCTGTCTCCTCCCAAAGGCCCTCCTGGATTTCCCCACCAGCCCTCACACCAACAGTCTCTGCGATCTCTGCCTGCACAGAGGTGTGGGGAGAGGAAAGGCAAAGTGGGAACATTTCTGACAGCCAGCACTGGGTTCCCTGATTCAGGACTGAGGCCAGCCCTGTACCCCAACAGGGAAGGGGTGTCTGTTTGGCTCTGTTTCCTGGGAGGCCTTGTCTCTTTCCCTTCCCAACAGGCAAGAGGCTATTTTTTTTTCTAGTCTCATGTTTTCAGCATTGTTCTGGCCAGAGTGTGAGGGGGAGGAAGGGGAGGGCTGGACAGACAATCAGGTTGGAGGGAAGAGATTTCTCGGGGGCAGGAAACTACAGAAGCGTCCTTGAAGCTCCCCTCTTCCCTGCTCCCCGCCCTCCTCCCCCTCTTCCAAGTTGGAATCTAGGTCTCTCTGCCTCCATCTCCCTCCTTCCCCCCCCCCTCTCCTCCCAGGTCAGAAGCTCTTGTGGGGGAGAAGCTGGGTATGTGGGAAGGAGTTTCCATGGGGCTGAGTACTCCAGTGTGACTGCACATTAGCGGGTACAGGGGAGCAGGCAGGCAGCTGAGACCCTCCACTCTTGCAGAACTGTTCCCAAATTCTGGACTGGGAATGTTGCCCTCATTTCTTTCTTCATTGCATCATTCATGTATTCATTCATTCATTCACTCACTCATTCACTTACTTGCTCACTCATTCATTCATTCACTCATTCTATTCAACAAACACTTGTTGACCTGTTTTAGCAGCAGCAGGTGACCTGACACCTGGGGACCTAGAGCCATGGCTGCCCCCACAGTCCCCACAGAATCCCAGTCAGTCGGATGGTAGTGTAACAGGGGGGTCCCCAGGAAGAGGGGAAGTTCCAGGTTCCCTGCTCCACCCAGAAGGAGGGTAGAGCTGAGAAGAGCATGGAAGAGAAGACAAGAGAAGGAATCTGAGGAGGAAGGAAGCAGGATGGAGAGCCAGAAGGAGGCCTGAGGAGCCATGTGGAACAAAGGGAGACATGTGAAGGAGCCGTGTTTATTTCTTGGCCCTGGACCGGGTGAAAGAGATGTGGGTGAGAGACCTGCAGGGAAGTTGACTATGGCAGTGTTTCTCTTGAGTTTGATCTTGCTCTTTTCCTCCCAGACTTGTCTGGCCCTTTCTGACCCTTTTCCATGGGTCCCGGCCAGAAGGTGCTTTAGTCTTGTGGCAGCTTTCAGGCCTTGCTTTGAGCCAATCCTGTTTGGGTTGACTTTTGCCCACAAGGGGACGGGTAACTTCAGGTGTTTGATTTAGAAGTTATATTCTTTGTCTTCTGTGTTGTATACTCACTGTATTAAAGTTCCTTCTCATTAAAGTCTTAGATGTTTTGTCTTGATGTGGCGGATGGCAGAACCTATTTAAAGGAGGCAGGTTTGGGGTTTGGGGTGCCCCTCTCTCCCTGCCCTGTAACAGTAACTTAAGATACAGCGACCCCTCACAGCCACCCCCGTGGGGACCAGGGACCTCCTATACCAGAGCTCGGTCTTCCTGCCCCTCCGCTCCCCCACCGATGTTGATGTTGGCTATGGAATGATCCTTTGTGAACCCCCAGCTTGTGTGGCTTGATGCTCTACACCAAGGTCCACCTCTCTGATGCCCCTCCTTCCACCTTCAACTCAGCGAGCAGCCTCAGACCCCAAGGCTGAGAAGGAGGCTCTTGGGGACTCATAGAGTGACCCCTTGTTTAGCCAGTGAGGCTCACTGCAGATCTATTGTGTATGTGCTTCCTTGTATGAAATTTTACTTGAGCCTGGTTTGAAAATCTTGCAATCTGAACTTCGACCCAACTATCCCTTGTACAGATAAGGAGACCGATACCCAGTAAACACACCCAGGAATGGGTACAGAGTCACTGCCCAAGGCCACACGAAGTGAGTCAAGTTCTGGATCCACCTGCCTGTCCCCCCAGGGGGTCCCTGGAGCGCCAGCTGTCAACCCTGCAAAGTCAGAACTTAGACTTCAGATGAAAGACTCTGGCTTTCACATGCTCCATCATCTCCTCAGAGGTGGCTACCTCCGTCTCAGAGAGAACCGGCAGTTGCTGGATACCCTGTCTGCAATAAAGTTCTCTCCTAGGGCACAGCAGCTCAGGGCTCTAAAGACACGCACAGGATGACATGCTGGCTGCCCACCACACACCTGGGAGGTAGAAAGCAGGTGCTGTTAGTCCCGAATCATGAGGAAACCCAGGCCACGAGAGTCAAAGGGGAGCCTAGTGGCAAGGCTGAGAACACCCCAGATGTGGTGTGTTATACTCAGGGAGGAGGCCTGAGCTTTCAGGCTGACTGAGCACTGAGCCTGTTGGATGGGGATGGGGAGCATTCATGGACTCGGCCCTTGGGGTAGTATCAAACCCCAAGAACCAACCGAGCCCATGAATGCACACCTCAGCCCCATCCGACTGCGGCACAATTCTAAGCTGCCCTCTTGCAGCATGGGCTTGGAAGGCAGAGCTGGCTGGTGTCAAGCATGCAGTTAACTAGAGCTGGGGGGGGGGACAGGGAATGGAGGGGTGGGGAGCTGACCCAGGTGCAGTGACAGGGGAGAGCACACTGGGCCAGCAGGGGCAGGAAAGCCTGTCCAAGGAGAGACAGACATGGGAGATGTCATGGAATTCCAGGCTTGCGTGAGGCAAGGGTGATGCCTGGGCTCCCAGCTCTGCTTCCAGAGGGAGCGAGAAGTGGGAGAGGCTGAGCGTGAGCACTGGGCAGGATAAGAGCTCCTCTCCTGGGCAGGGTGGAGATGCCTGTGGGGCAGAGGGCCCAGGGCACAGTCCCTGTGGAAGTGGCCAAGGGAAACCGAACGTCTCAGTCAACTCAATCACGGAGGCAGCCGAGGCTCAGGCTCAGGGAGAGAGGAG